CTTATTGCGAACCAGTTCTTCAGCAATATGAATCTAAACGAGAAAGTTCGTCCCCTTGATTAGCACTTTGCGAGTTCATCTGCCCATCCCTCACAATCAGAGCCCTGCGGAGCCGTCTATGCTGCTATTAGGAGCATATTTCGCCTCCCTCCAGATAGGACATCACAGCATTTGCAAAGACGCTGCAAAGAAAGTTCTTTATGAGATATAAATAGTTTTACAACAATGATACTGATCTAACTCAAAGCAGTGATCACCTTACGGCACACCGCTAGAATGCACTCCACCTGCTGAACAAAAGGAACAATGTCTTCGTTGCAACGCTGCCGCCGACAAGCAGTTACAATTCCTTCGGGTCATCCCGATACACAGTTCTTCACGAAGCCAAAACAAATTGAATATATTGCCAGGTTTGGCTCTCGATGAACCTCGGCATTGTAGTAGTTGGATATTTATTTCTTTTGAAATTCGACACGTGGTTGTTATGATGTCGGCTAACGTTTCGGCAGGATTGCCTTCTTCGGAGCCTGAAAAATGGGAACTGAGTCATGATTTATATGATCCAATGTCATACCACCCTACGAGAACTTTGAGACCCACTGAATCGCCACATACTCAAAAAGAGGAGCTAAGATTCTTACCTTATAAGATCGCGAGACCAGCCCACGTACGTGTCCCAATTGGGGCTTGTTTGTATGTGGTTCGGTGGTTCTTGTTAGAGTTGGTTCTTAACCAATTATTTTCGAACTGGACTGAGAATTTTGAGTCTGCACTTCTTATGGCAAAAAGCTCCGTATCAGTCGGGCACCCCTTTTTATAGGCGCCCCGTGCTAATACGGGAGAGCAGACAATCGTCTAACAAATATCCAAGTATCTAGATGAGTCTAAACGTCTCTAAGAAAGTCTAAGCGGACCCTAACAAATAACAGTATCTAAGAGGGCGCGGAGCGAGACAGTTCGACGGTCTAGTGATTTGTCGCCCATGGCCGTACCCAGGGTTCCGGTTGGAAAGCTGAC